ACCCTAAACCTGAACCCTGAACCCTGAACCCTAAACCCTGAACCCTGAAACCCTGAATTCCCATTGATAAAAATTATGTATTTTTATTAAAAACGTATATTCTCATTAATAATTAATTTTTATGTACAAAATTTTTATTGCTTTTTATAAGTAATTTTTAGTTATTTATGTTTACTGCTTTTAAAAATAATAAAAATACTTAAATAATGAAAAAAAATTTTAATTATTTTAATATCACTTAACAAAAATTTTATTCTTAAAATATAAAAAATATTCTCATGAAATTTTTTCTTTCTAAAAAATTTTTCTCTTTTAATTTTTTTTTTTTTTAAAAAATTAAATATATCTCTATAAAAAAAATTTAGACAAAATATTAATTTTTCTTTTTTTTAAATAGATCTTGTGCACGAATAATTCTATATCCTCTGTTAAACCATTAATGTTTAATCTCTTAATGGTTATGAAATTTACTAAAAAGAAATTTGAAAATATTTGATTCCTTATTTTTTATTTTATTTTTTCCCTGCTCTTTCTTAGATTCGGATTCTGTTTTATGGTCTCTCATCTCTTGTTTACATTCACATAAGAATTTCTCAAATTCTGATTCAAGTTCTTTAATAATACTATCAGTTATTTTGTTTTTTTCTTCATCTGGAATATCACGTCGACAAGACATTGAACGTAGATCATTAACTTTGTTAGCTGAAATTTTATTCCATTCACTATTCCATTTTTGGTTTCTCCATTTAGGGTCCATTTCAATTGTTTCCTTATTAAATCGCTCCCACAATGCTGGAGTGATGACTCTATGCCATTGATCGCACGGATTCTTGTATTGAGCCGGATTTTTACATTTGTTTTTTTTATTACCTAATGGACGTTCTTCTAGACATCCTCCAGCGTTATTTTGCTTTTTACCTGCTATGTCACCCTCTGTTAATACTCTCTCATATATTAACTCATTTTTTGTTAGCAATATATTTTTATCAATCAAAGTTTTATAGGAATCACACTATGGATTAAATAAAAATTTTTTAAAGGAAAGTTTCTTTTGTTAGAATATAAATCAAATGGAATGTCAAGAACAATTAGAAATAAAATATATCTATATGTATATATTTTGTAAAAATTTTAACTTACGTTATAAAAACGTTGATACATCCAAATTAAAAGAAGCAATGTAGTAATTTTTAAATATAAAGTTAACGTTTTCATATTAATATATTTATAGAATAATATTGAAGTGGAAGTTGTTAATTCAGGTGTAAAATTGTTTCAATTTTCAATAATACTAAATTATAGATTTTCAATATTAATTTAGATATTATTATAACTTGTATTAATTTCTTAAATTTTTAAAATAGAAAATTATTTTCATATATGAAATGTAATTTCTAATTTTTTATTATTACACATGACATTATGGTTACTTTAGATAGGAATAATATTCTTAATTCTTTAAAAAATAAAATAAGAATGTTAATTTACAAATAAATAAAAAATATAATAAATTGGATAATGTTATTTAAGAAATATTTTATTAATGTTTTATTTATCTTTAAATTATATAAAAAAATAAAATATTTTTAATTAATGCACATAAAAATTATAAATGATATACATTTAATGTTAAAGGATTTTTTTTATTTTTTTTTTCTAAATTAACAATCTCTGTGAATTATTTCGAACTTTAAATTATTTTATATATGGTATATTACGATTTATAAATATTAATCTTGGTATATTATAGAGATATATCTCCATTAAAAAAAGAAAAATAAACTCTATAAATTAAAAATTTTTATACGCATGTATTTTTATTACAGTATACTACATTTTTCAAAATTTTTCACTTAATATAAAACTAATTTTTGTTTGTGTATATTTTTCTTTTAAATATAACTTTTCTGATTTTTCTAATTTACTTTTTTTTATCATAATTTTTTTTTTTTTTATTTTTATTATTAATAAATATTTATACAATATATGTATATATTTATTTTTTGTTATAACTATTTTTTAAAAAAAAATTACTTTTTCAACTATTTGAAAAAAAATAAGAAAAATTTATTAAGTACTTAAATTCAAAAGAAAAAGTGAAAATAGATATTTACTTTAATGAAATTATAATAGCAAATTTATAAAAAGCACATTTTGCAGTCAAATAAATTAATTATATATTAAAAAAAAAAAAAAATACTATTTTTTTAATCATATATTTGCAGTAAAAAATATTTTTTAAAAAAAGTTTTATTTTTTGACAAATTTACCTTATTCTAAAGGTACATTTTTATAAATTTACTTTTTTTCTAATAACACTTATAAGTTTCAAAATTAATACAAATGTTATTTACTGAATATAAAAATATATCTTTAGTTAAATATTATAGTTTTTTTCTTATAAAATTCAAAAGAATGCATTTTTGTTGTCATATAAAAAATATCAATAAATAAAGATAAAACAGAATTATAAAATAACTTTTTGCATATATATTATTATAATCTCCTAATTAAATATAAAGAGAAATTATTTTACTTTTTTTTTTTTTGCTTTTATATATTTATTTGATATGTTTTGATTATTATTACGATGTATTTATTTTGTTTTTATTTTTAGTTTTATATATTTATTGCACAAATTTTTATTTTTCAATTTACTTACCAAAAAGATTAGGTAACTTATTTATATAGTATAAATGAATTCAACAATTGTTCCTTCCTAATATAACTTTTTTCTTAAAAGGTTAAAATTTATTAGACATCTCCGTAAATATTAATGGAGAATTTTAATAAGAATTTTTATTTTTTAAATTTAATTTGTTAGAATCTTTGACGTATTACTAATAAAAAGTGGTATGTATAAATTCTATAATTTTTAATATTATAACACTAATTTCTCTCTAATGAATAATCATAAATTTAATAAATGTGCTTTTTTTATAATTTATATTTTTTTCATATTATATGTAGAAGTAGTTCTTACAAGTAAAAATATTTAAAATATAAAAGTATCTTACATTTAACATAGATATTACATGATATTAAAATAATTTGAATAGTGTGTGTATTGGATATATAGAAACTTAAATTATCCAAATAACTGTTCATGAAGTATTAAAATTATTATAATTTTTATAAATAAGATAATATTCCTAAGGAAAAAAAATTATTTATAGCTCTGATATATTAATGGCTGTTAAATTACTTTTCTCATGTCAAACAAATAAATTAATAAGAAAATGTAATGTAAACTCTACTTAATTTTAATATAAAATTTTTATTTTGATTAATAAACATTAAATATGACTTATTAGTTAATTATTTTTTTTTTTGATACAAGCAACACTCTAAAATGTAATTTCCTTAATATTACATTTTAGCTTATAATAAAAATATACATTCTATAGTAGTCTGCACATTATCCTTCAAAAAAAAAAAAAAAAAAAAAAAACTAATTTATTTTTTAAGATTACATTTTTTTTTTAATAATAAAAATATCATCATAATATATATTTTTTTTAATTGTAAATACCGCATAGGTAAAATATTATTATTTATTTATTTTTTTTTAAGTGTGCTTATTTTAAGTGAAAGTAAATATATACACATATTTTTTGTTTACATACTTTTTGAATAACTATTTTAGAACAGATAATTATGATAGCATATTGTCCTTGCGAATTAGCATGCACAAAATAAGATGTTTTTATTCTATTTATTCGTCCAAATATTAAACAATAAGGGTCAATAGTATTGTTTATAGAGCAATGTATAACCAATATAAACAATATAGATAAAGCTAAATATGTTCACTATACGTCAAGAAAACATAGTGACATTCAGCGGAAATAGAGTACAATATAAAAATAATGATTTTTAATAGTTATAACTTGTGAAACGTTTGATTATTATATTAAAGAATCTATGGTATTGATTAAAACTTATTGCAAAGGCCATATAGGAATAGACTTTATTAACACTAGAAAATTATATGGATGGAAATTAATATTTTTAGAATTTAATTTAGAATTTGAATTGATTCAAATAATTCAAAAATGTCTAGATTATTGGATAATCAAATCAATAAATAATGACAATAATCTTAACTACATAATTTTATTTTGCATTATGTCACTGGAGAATTATGAAGGCTTTTGTGTCTTTTCATCTTATGAAGATATGATTGATATTGTAAGAGAAAAATAATATTTCAAGAGATGCAGTATAAATAAATAATTTTTCTACTCACTATAAAATAGAATAGTTGTATATACGAGGAAGGTATAAAATTTATTTAATGTATTCTTTTCATAGTAAATTTACTGGATGTTGTAGAGTGATTTATTAACTGTGTTTTCGGTGACTTTTTTAGAATACCGGACAAACAAATTAATAAAGAGCATGTAGAGTTTCCTTTATGGTTTTGATGTATTTCTATATATTTTTATATGCTTTAAACGAGTGATCCTTATTTATGTTATCTACTTCATTCAGCATTCATTGATTTCAATAGGCATTTATTTATTTTAATAAAAATCCTTATTTTTATTAAAAATTTAAATCCTTATTGAATGTTGATTATTAATTAAATGTAAATTATTTATTTCATCGTTATGAGTTATGTTCAGCTATTTAAATATATTGCTGATGAATTAACAAACATTAACAATTAGTAAAAACTCAAATTAATTATATGAATATTAATTAAGTGAAAATTTTTTTGTCATATGTATGAAATTTTCTCTCACAAATTAAAAATATAAATATTATGCAAATTAAACTCTTTTATGTAAAAATTATTATCTTTTTAAGATCTCATTTATACTGGTGCTAAATCTTACTCTCGATTTTTATTTTACCAATTTTTCTCTCCAAATTTAATTATTTAAAAAAAATAAATATATTATTTTTTTAAGTATATCCATTTATTAAAAGAAAAATATCAAAAAAAATTCCATAATTTTTTTTTTTTTTTTTTTTTTTGCGTGTGCACAACCAACTACGTATTCTTCATATAGCTAGTCCTTTTTATTACCAAAAACGTTAATGAAGCCTTTTATTAACCAACATATTAAAAAAATTCCTTAACAGGAAATTAACAAGTAAATTATTGAAGAACTATGAATATTGTTGAATAATATTAAATATTAATTAAAAGGAAGTGGTATTAATAGATGTTCTCGTAAAAGTTCATATTACATAACGAAATCTTTATTTGAGGAAATGGTGTAACCTCGAAAAAAATAATACAAAAGAGCAAATTGATTAACAATAGAAAATAATATGATGATATAGAAAAAATATTATGTTTTTCTATGTTAAGAAATAATAGTATATAATCATTATTTTAAAATTTTTATGTCAAACTAAAATGTAAGTGAGAATAATTTATATAAGATAAAAAAGGGAAATAAGAATTTTAATATACTTAAGGAAAAAACAGTGGATAAAAATAAAAATATTACATTGATATTATTTCATGTGAATTACCATAATATATAAAAAATCAGACAAAACATTCTTGAGAAAATACAAAATTGTGAATAAATCTAATGAAATTTTAAACTTTAAGATGATATATATTACATTTGGAGGTGTACATATACATATAAAGTATTTAAGAAAGTATGTACATTAAAGTGCGCATAAGGAAACACATGTAATGGCAAATACTAAAAAGAAAATTAATAGCTTGTATAAAAAAAAAAAATAAAATAATTACATATATATATATATTTTTTTTTTGGACGTGTGATTATTACATGACACATGGTCATAAGTAATATTAAATTTTAAGTAAATAACAAATTGATTAAGAATATATAAATACAATAGTATGTTTTTAATATAATGAAATTTTTTAATATTTATTTATGATTACGGTAATTACAAGATTTTAAATATATAATAAATAAATTATTTATTTTGTATTATATAACATAACATATATGAAGTATATGATTACCTATAAGTGGTATTATAATAAATAAAATATTTAAAAATTTCATCACATACCCTCTACAGGTTTGACTACTTAAATAATATAAACGTATTTGGATAGCTAATTAATAAATAAATTATATAAATTATATAAATTATATACATCTTTTATTCAATAATTCATCAATTTTTCTTTTCGACACTTTTGTAAGAATTTTGAGAAAATAATTTGATAAACGTTATACAAAGTAATATTTACTAATTTTGTCAAAGTACATAATAATTTTATAAAAAATAAAAAATATAAGTATTTAAATATTTAATTATCTTAATGTATATAAGATTTAACACGTTATGCTTACATAATAGGCAACAAATATTTTATGTAAAATAAGAGTAATAACGTTATTCTGAACAGTGTCTTTGGCATTTTAATTATCTCAAGTAGTATTTATGTAATAATATATTTTCATTTTTATTTCAGGATATATTTTTTCCGTTAAAAAATATTATTTTTTTTTTGCGAGATATAAATGAGAGATGATATAAAAAAATGTGGATACTAACTTTGTAAACTCTAAAATCTAGAATGTTTCAGTTTGCACGTGTTCTGATCTAAAATATGTATAACTTCATTTTTTATGTTTTTTATCTTTGCAAATAAGAAGTATTTAACATTTTAAAGTGGATCAACATGTAAAATGATTAGCACCTATATTTATTAACCAATTATATAGTCTTCTTAAGAAAAAAAAAAAAAAAATATATATATATATATATATATATATATATATATATTTTATTATTATTATTAGTGAACAAAAATATTACTGAATAATAACTTTTAGATGAAGGTAATTTTTTCACTCTTAAAAATAAAACTATTAAATAGTATATTTGAAAAATTTTATATCTTTTTTTTTAAAGTTAAAATATTTTTTGCTTATACTAAAATTCTAATCATATACAGATGTATGATTGAATTAAAGAAAAATTTAATTTTTTTTTAATTATAAATTCATTATTAAACTTACTAATAAATAATTTTATAATACATGTCAATATAAATATGTTCATATAAATGTCATTCATTGATTTATTAAATGGGTGTTCGGTGACTTTACTAGAGTGCTGAACAAACAAATTAATAAAGAGCATGTGGAGGTGTCTCTACGATTTTGTTGTATTTATATATATTTTTAAATGCTTTGAACGAGTAATTCTTAATTATGTAATCTACTTCATTCAGTATTCTTTAATTTCAATAGGCATTTATTTACTTTAATTATAATCCTTATTTTTATTTAAATTTTAATCCTTATTGAACATTGATTATTAATTAAATGTAAATTACTTATTTTTTTGTTATGAGTTATGTTCAGCAATTTAAACATATTGCTGTTGAATGAACAAACATAAACAATTAGTAAAAATGCAAATAAATTATATGAATATTAATTATGTGAAAATTTTATTATCCATTTATAAAATTTTCTCTCACCATTTGAAAATATAAATATTATGTAAATTAAACTCTTTTATCAAATCATTATTATCTTTTGTAAAAAAAATCTCTCTATCAATAAATCATTCTGTCTCCTTTGCCAAAAAAAAAAATAAAATCTTTTTTTTTTTTTTTTTTTATCTTCATCTTTTTCAAAAGAAAAATATCTCAAAAAAAAAAAGTTCCAATAATTTTTTTTTTTTTTTTTTTTTTTTTAGTTAGTACCACCAACTACGTATTCTCCACGTAGCTAGTCCTTTTTATAGCCAAAAAGGTTAATGAAGTCTTTTATTAACCATACATAATATATTTTTATCTTTTATTATACTTCTTAAGAATGTATTAAAAGCATAAAAACTAACAATCAGTTTATTAAGGAGTGGACATAAAAATGAATGGTAATTTTTTAAAAAATACAACTCTTATCTTAACTATGCAATATTAATTTAAATAAATTAATAAAAAAAATAACATGTATATATACAAAAAGAATAATGTATTTCAATGAATATATAAAATAATAGAGAAGATTTTTCATATTTTATTAAAAAAAGAGGGTATATTTTTTTTTACTTTTGAATAATATAATCATACGTATATTCTTGCAAAATAAATTATATAAGAAGTTTTTTTAATATTACTTTTAAATCTAATGTAGAATTTAAGATTTCATCAATGTTTTTAATTCATTTTTTATTTTTTTTTTATTATCCTTGTTTTTATAAAATATGTAATCATTAAAAGTGTTATAGATATTATACTACCTTACGCAAGCGTAAACCTAAGATAAATGAAATCAATATAATACAATAACTAATTATAATAAGAGACATTTTAATATGTTCTTTCGAATTAAAAAAGAATGCCATATAACTTAAAAAATTAAACAATGTATTAATGACAAGAAAGAATGAGAAAATAATAAAGTACCAATGAATTTATCTTTACATTTGGTTTCTGTGTAATCATTAAAAGTGTTATAGATATTATGCTACCTTATGATAGAGTAAACATATGAAACATGAAATCATTAGAATACAATAACTCATTAGAAAACGATACCTTTCACTATGTTCTTTCCAATTATAAAAGTATTCCATATGACTTAAATAAACCAAATAGAGTGGTAATGACAAGGAAATAAGAGAAAAAAAGAAACTACCAATGGATTTATTTATATATTTGGTTACTTTTTGTTTGTTAACATTATTTTCATTTAATATCTCTACTATTGTTTCTGAAGGTTTTGGTATATTAAATGAATGAAAAATTGATTTCTGTGCTTTTGATTTTATAAGATTTTTCTCCATTTCATCTGGTTTCTCATTTATTTCTTCTTTTTCTAATGCATCTAATAGGTTTTCTGTGGATTCACTTTTTGACTTTTTAAATATATGTTCAGCACTCTAGTAAAGTTACCGAACATCCAATTAATAAATCAAATATCGACTATTAATTAAATGTGAAT